GCTGAAAACCACTCGGCCAGTTTATTGAAGTTTTTCCTAGCCATTGCACTCTCCCCTTTTTGCACTTTTCCCCCTAGTTATTTATGGGGAGGAGAGGTGGAAATGGGCAGCCCTGTTGCCTGCGGCGCATCGGCTGGGGCACTTTGTCTTAATCTGAGGCTCATTCTACGCAACATTGCGTTCGTCCGGCTTTTATGGCTTCAATTAAGCGGAAATTATGCCGTATGGTCAAATTACATGTGCGCCAGCCACGTTCGCTGCAACCTGGGCGTAATTTATGTTGCAATATGTTGTTAGGTCATGGGATTTTCTACCAATATGACTACAAAAGCTTTAAATAGAATAAACTAAAATTAGGAAAATTTGTAAACGATTTAAAAATATTTAATGAACTCTATACATGCGATGATATATACAGGTTAAATAACTACTTGTTAAAAAAATAAATGTGTTTCGTTAAAAAACTAAAATATCAATTATGATATTTAACAATATATGTATAGTTTTCTTCAACTGTTAAGCATTTTAATTTTACCCAAAGCTAATCTGAATAAATTTTATAATTTATACTGGGCAACTTAAAGCAGCATATAAAAATCTTAAATGTATGCCATCTTTAATTAAATGAAATTTAAAACCTGGAAAGTGATAACTAGCTTAATGTCAGAACTTTTGAGCCCTTTTGTTAAAACGAATTAAATGTGTCGCTCTCGAAATCTCAAATATCAATTATGAATGCTTATCTCTCCTTCCATTGAACCGTTGAGCAGTTCAAGTTCACCCATCGCTATAAACTGACAAGCGACCCGTTGCGAGTGTCGGAGAACTCCCTGAACTTTGTCTGACATGCAGTTCTCCAATGAGTTTTCAGACATTTTGGGCAAGTGTCTGATGCCAAGGCGGCGACCCCTGCACGTCAGTCAGTGAGTCAAGCACACGAGCCTGGTGTCAGTTAGTTCGCCTAACACTTTAATTAAAAATCCGAGCAAAAGGAGCAAAAAAAAAAAAAAAATCTAAAGTTATGAATTCCCAACTAAAAGTGTCGAGGAAGCAGAACTAGACAGCCAGCTAAATGGAGGAAGGGGAAAAGTGTGGACGGGTGACTTTGGGTCCTTCTTCGGTGGCTTTTTATTAGACAAAACTGAATCGAAATCGAATGGGAAAGGCAGAAAATATTTGCACTTTCCCCACTTATATAAGAAATCAAGCGTAGCCTTCTTGCCAAAAATAGGTGATATGGAAGGGGATAGAGGAAAATAGAGCGTAAGTTAGCAAAAGGGAAAGGGGCGGACATAAAATATAAATGTTTTCCTCGCGCTGCAAACGCGAAAAACATCACTGTGCATTATATGGAAATTGAAATCGAAAAGGAGTACCGAACGAAAATAAACGTTTATTGACATTTGCTCTTGCGATAATCAATAATATTTCCGGTTCTGGTGACTGGTGTGCCTCCGGCAAAATATTCGATTCCATTTGGGTATCTGCCTCAATGTGTTCGTGCCCATGCAGAAAAAGTCCACATTTGTAGTAAACTATTTTATTGACAAATTTGCATGGCAATGGCGTTGAAATTGAACGAGCTTCTGCCTTATTGAACCACTCAAACAACGAATATGTTTGCATATGCGTGGATATTGCTAAGTGTGTTTTTGAGATGATTTAATAACCTATAAGCTAATAGAGTGGAAAAGTGGCATTCAAAATCGGAAAATAATAATGAGAATACCATGAATATAACCGCAATATCTTTATTAAAAGGGGAAAGCAGTGGCAAAAACTTTAGTGGCTTATTAAAATGTTTTTTGGTTTAAATGAGTATTTGAGTTGCTCTTAAAGGATAAATATTTTCAAACAGTTTTAAACATTTTGCCTGTTTTCATAGATTACCCCACTAAAAAAGGGACCCCATTCACTTCGAGTACGTTTAATTAGCAATAAAATCAGTAATTATCCTGCACAAACACGGAAGCAGTGACCAAAAATAAACCGAAAAGGGGCGTGGCAAAGCGGCCATAAAACGTGAAACAAACAATGCCCGTCGGCCATGCCACAAAAGTCAGCTTAAAATAAATTTAAATTTTAATTTCAATCTCGGTTCCACTCGCCCGAAAGCGCCACACAAAAGCCAACTGTGTTGGCGGCGGTGAAAGTCTGTTTGTTACCCTTTTCCCCTCCTTCTTTTTTTTTTGGCCCATACCCCCGGCATCCCTGTGCCTCTCGCAGGAATCCTTGTTGCCACTGCTGCGTAGACAACTTCCAGTTGTGGCGCAGCAGCCATTTCGTGTGTCTGTGTGCAAGTGAGTGCGGTCTGATGGAAGCCATTGGCAGGTCCCTCGGCTTCCTGGCTTCCTGCGTGCGTCAAGTGTATCTGTGGTTCTATGCAGGATACACATAAGGATGCACTGAGATAAAAATGATCTTCCACCATGTATATTGGGAAAATAAATGAAGTTTTAATAGCCTGCTTTAGATGCCAATTAATTAGATAATATGTATAAATAAATTAGAATTTTAATTCCTTTTGTTATAGACAGTTTAATACTTACATTTCTTAATAAAATATGTAAATGAAATTAGGTTTAAGGAGACTGAAATACATTTTATGAATATCAACTTAAAAAAATGTATATATTTAAGATAAATACACCATAAAATTCAGGTTAGGGTATTTTATTCTAAAGATATACCCAACAGAAAGATTGCGGCTTGGGGATTTTTGAGCGGCTTTTATATATGCATGCAGGATGAATAAATAAAGCCAAGTGCTCCGCTCCGGTTCATTTCTACCTCATACCTTTTACCTTTTTTGGCCGCTGTGCTGCTGCTGCGGGTTTCTCGTGCTTTCCGTCGGCCAACCCTCGTGATATGACGTATACGCCACGTTGTCTGACTCTGAACGGCAGCCTTTTGATGCAATGTCTCCTGTGGGCAGTCGGGCCAAACGATTTGCGTAACCGAGCACATGTTGAGTCATCCAGTGGGTGTTTGCTTCTCCATATATATATATATATATATATATGTATACACATATATGCGATTTTGTGGGCGCGCTGGCCGCAAAACAATTGCGGACTCTTAAGTATAATGGGCAAATGGTTGGACGTCATTAGACTGTAATTACCCAACTTGCTCAATTTAGCAGTTTTTTTGGTCTTGATCTTTCAATCGTTACGATATGGCATTGTTATTATTTTGCCATAATATCGATTTTCATTGTGGCTTTTCCTTTTTCACCTGTTTGGCGGCAGATTTAATTGCTATCATCTAAATTCATATTTCCTGGCCCACCATTTTGTGGCCCAGTTTGCAGGAAAATCCGACATACACACACAATAGGCATATTTAGACCTTTTTGCTTACAAATGGTCAATATGTAAATAGGTTGGCAATTAAAATGCTGGCAGGGTAAATTTTGTTAATTAGCCAAGAAAAAATCTAATTGGCTTTGGGTTTTACAGGCTTAAAAGCTTTTTGTAGTGATGAAAGCTATTATTATAGCGTTGCATTTTTGATTTTATAAAGTTATTTAAATACATACTTGTATATAGAGATTGAAATTCAAGCCAAGAACTAAAACATGTCTTTAAAATCTGTTTGAAAAACAAACTCGTTTGCTATCTAATGTCCTATTTGTTTCATATCTCAGTATCCCGTGGCTTGACATTTTGTTTGTGCCAAAAATAAAATAAAATGCAGAGCCAAGCAACACGTCAGCGTCAGCACATTTGGGCCAACTTTCAACTACACTGTAAATAGAGTCGCGATTTTTTGGCTATTGTGTTCTTGGCACTAGCATATACCTGCCAACTGGCATTGTTGGACCCTATATGCCATACAGTTTTTTTATTCTCTTTTTTAGCTGCTATTTTACTTTTTTTGGGGCGTTGCCGTGGCTGAGTTTTAATTAGCCCTGAGTGCGTGTTGGGCTGAGCCGAAAGCCGTACAAATTGTTATATAAACACATACACACGCCCAACAAAGTGTTTTAAGGGCCTAAAACATTGTCGCCACCAAATGAAGTTGGCCAACACGAAAACTACGCAGGTCGCCAGGAAAATAGTTAGCCAAGGTGCTCGTACAGTAAAAGGCAGCAACTGAAAAGTCTTCAAATGGCAGCGGAAATGAAATTAGGGTAAAGTGGAGAAGTTGTTTGAAGGGACGTGCTGGCAGCCCTGAAAAGGAATGTTTCCTTTCCCCCTTTCCCACTTTTCCCCCCTTTTGCCATGGCAAATGTTAAGGTTATATGTCCTCGGAAAAAAACACAAAAACTAATAGCAAAAGGCGGGCGATGGCCTGCCCTTTTTATTTTGCATTTTTGTTTTGTTCTCCCGCCCTTTTTTTTTAATTTGCATGTTTACGCCAAAATGGCATGCAGACGTTGAAGTAAAAGCAAAATGTTCATAAAATATGAGAAAAGGAAATTCCGTTAATTTTATTTTAGCTCGAGAGCATTTAAAACAGCATTCACAAAATGCTAATGAAAGGCAGTGAATGCATTTATATGTAGCCAAAGGACTGAAACAAATTCAGGGATTTTATATTTCATATTTCTCTATATAGTACACACTATACGTTTTAACTGACGTTCTGGGTGAATCGTAAAACTGATTTTGGCGCAAAAAAAACTTGAACTTTCATGGCACGAAAATGTTAACGGAAATGGAAAAAATGGTTGAGTGGCGAAAGAAAATGGGGGAAAACTTCTGAACTTGGAAAAATACTGCAACATTTTTCCTGATAAAAAGCAAAGTTTTCCGAGATCGTTTGCACGACATTTAACAAACACAGTAATTTAAGTTTGTCCCGCAACTTAACACTTTTCTTCTGTATGACCCAATAAATTAAAAATATTTTAACACTTGGGTAAAATACTTTTAAGGAGGATATGCCTATGAGAACTTTGCAATGCTGATGTTCAGGAATATATATATTTTTAAGCAATTTAATAATAACTACCCTTCTTCACTTTTATCCACTTGAACACATTTTGCAGCGCTGCTTAGCAAATAAATTGTAATATTTGTGTATATTCAATATGGATTAGTCCTAAGTCCGGTTATGCATAATATGTTATTCACATGTTCCTTGCAGTAAATCCGTCTCTAAACCTAAGTTAAGATAATGCTGTGCAATGAGCAAGTAAGAGCGAGTTCAAAATGGCATCTCGACCAGAGGAAAAAAGTGGGAAAATGTAGCATAGTAACAATGATTAGATGATTTATTCTATGGGTGTATGTTTGCAACAGAATCGCATGTTAAAATATAACGAAAACAGAGAGTATTTACCAACAAAAATAGTTCACTTCCAAGGCAAAGAACGAACAGAACGAGGAGCTGCAGGAATCCATTAAAAGATCAAAACAAATTCAAACAAAATAATATGAGTAATATATATATATATATGTATATGTGTGAGTTTACAATTTAGATGCTTTTTGATACCCCAAATGGAAATTAGTTAGGCAAAAGGCAGAATATGCATTGAAAATTTTATAGAGAACAACGCAGCTTAGGCAAAACGTACATATACTCAAAACAAATACTTCGTTTATATTGTCATAACCCCACAAGGAAATCAAGCACAGCTCCAACTAAAAACAAAAGGAAAAAAACATGTCGATGGATACACACAGACAATACGCCCAAATGTATGCAATTTGATTGTGCAGATAGAATATTTTTTAAATGTTTATAAGCAGAGATTGAAATATTTGTAAAACATATTTTAATAGACACCGAAAAACCAAAGGACAAACTTTTTGAAACATATTTTTTTATATACGAAAACAAGAAGACGGAAAAGTTGAACACTGCGAATATGCACAAAACATATATCTTTCGGATAACCCTAGCCTAAGTTAAAGTCGTAACATTTTCATTTAGAAGTTGACAAGTTTACTTTCGATGGTTTCAAGTGAAATTGTTTTGAGCCGTTTCGTATGCCATTCGGTTGAAGCTTAAGCGAGTAATCCAAAGTACAATCATTTATGTCAAACAGGACACCATAGAACACAACAGATATTCGGGGCGAGATACAATTCCGAGATAGAGATACAAATACGCTGAGGTAGAAGATTCGTGTTTTTACAGGGAAAAAACGAAAAACACTTTTTGCTAACAAATTTTTTTAACATTCGTTTTACACACGCTTTATAAGATTGGTAGTAGCGTGCAGCTAACAAAAAATAGTTAAAGATTTTTAATTTATAAAAGAAAACAATTTAAAACTGGTAGAAAGATATTCAACAGAGAGTCATTGTTTGGTTAATTTGAAGAGAACTTGAGCTTAGGTCTGCAAATGTAAAACTAGAGTCCCTCCCCTACTGCGTTTAGTTTGTAACTAGAGGTACAGCTCCCCCCATTTCCCCCAAAACCAACCAAAATGTATGCAGCCGCTGGTGGCGCCTCCCTGGCTTCCCGCCAGGCGCGCCAACGTCAACGCCAGCAGAAGAAGACCCAGCAGCTCCAGGCGAAACTACATCCACCGAAGGCGGCCGGAGCCGCCGGCCTTGTGTCCGGCGATCATGCCGCCGAGGGCGCGTCCACGCCCACACGCAGCCAGTCGCGCCAGTTCCACCAGCTGCCCACAAACTATCTGCGTGCCCCGCAGCCACATGGACGCAAGCTGAGCGCCACGTATACGACGCAATCGAAGCTCCTACTGCCAATCGATGAGAGCGACACCCAGTCGGTGCTGCAGTTGCGCATGCACCATGCCCACTCCCATGGCCACGCCCATGCGCACGCCCACTCCCATTCGCATGGGCCCGCCCATGCGGGGGGCGCAATGCATCCTCATGCGCCGGTGCAAACGCCGTACCAGCAGTTCGCCTCATCGCACGGACGCGTCTCACCGAAGCTGGTGCACCGGCATTCCGGGAGCAGTGCCGGCTTCCATCCGGCATCCAGCATCTCCACTGGACAGCAGCTGCACAAGTCCGCGACTGCGACGCTGCCGCTCGTTTCGCATATGGAAGCTGAAGCGGCGGCAAGTCAGTTGCAATCGCCATCGGCGTTGGCCGGCGTTAAAACGACAGCTGTGGCAACAGAAGATGCCACGCCCACATCGCCGCCGCTGGCCAGCACTTCCGCTGCCGCTGCCGCCGCAATGGCGGCAGAAGCAGAGTTAGCCGGCATGGCCGGCGCCATGTTTGTACCCCACCATGATGCCATCATTGTAACGCCGGCCACGCCCATGGCCTCGCCGGGTCATGCGGTCAAGTTAAGGCGACCCGGACCGGAGGAGCTATTTGAGGCATCCGCCGAACGGCAGCCATTAACCTCGGGTGAAGCTCTGGATGATGAGGATGAGCCAATGCATCCGCCGGCACCGGGACAGCTGGAGCGAAAGTGCAGCGTTTATAGGATGCGACGCAGCGATGCCTTCGAACAGGACACCGGCAGTGGAGGAGGAGGAGGCGGCGGAGGAGGAGCAGGTGGCCTGAAGCGGCAGCTGAGGGAGCTGCAGTTCAGCGCCGGAGTCCAGCAGACGCAGTACGAACCGCTGCTCGCCGACGAACCGCAGCTGATCTTCAAGGGTCTGGGGGTCAACGGGCGGAAGATGCAGATCTGCGCCTACTGCGAGGAGGGCATCTGCGTGTGCGAGCACCTCGAGGTAATTCCGGCCCGATCCTGGCCAGCCCCAGTCCTCCCCTCTTTCCGATGATATGTGTGATCCCAACTGCGGACCCCGCTTGCTTATGTGTCTTGCGCATGCCAAATAATTTGATCGTATGTGTGTGAATGAGTGGTGTGATTTTTTGTTGTCGAAAAAAACTAACGAAAGTATGCAAAGAGTAAGTTAACTAAAATATAAGAATACCCATATTAACATAGTTAAGTCTCAAAATTATTTTTTCTTTTATTGGTTTTATATTTAAACAAAAGGTTTTTCAATGAATTTTGGTGTTTGGTGTTCGTGAATTTATATTATTAGTACACGCATTTACATACTAATAATCATTACAATATTCTAAAGTGTGGTGTGTAACCTTTTTATTTGGGAAAAAAATTATATACTTAAGAAGATAAAAATGAGTTCAACTATTAGATCAGTGGTTAAAGCTAGAAATAATGCAAATTTTTTGTGTGAGGATGTAACATAGTTTTTTTTAAGTATAAAAACTAAGAGAACATATAATATTTTTTGCGGAGAACATATAATATTTACAAAAAGGTAAAAAAAAGTTTTTCGTTAAGTCATTGTACAAATTTCGCTACTTTCCGCTTAACAAGGTGAAAGTTTTATTAATATCAAAAATTGTTACATGCTAACGTGGCGTATGAGTAATTTTTGTGGATGTCTACCCCAAAAAGCACTCTGCAACTTTGCAGCAATGACAGTATCTGACAGTCTTTTTATATATATTTTCAATGAAGTTATTATAAAGAAAATGTGTTCTTTGTCGGGCAACACAAATTTAAACTATTCTATCGGGGGCCATTCAAGGAGCTTTGACAACTCGCCCCCACTCCGCCACACGTATGGCATCTCTAATAGGGACATGTAGCTTTTGGCAGGAGTCAACTGGCCCGATATGTCCGACCGTGCAGCTTTCCTCTCGACTAGCCCCATTTTGAGGCGATGCCATAACGGCGGAAAAATCGAAAAAGGAGAAAGGAAAATGTGAGGAGAAAGCCAACGACGACTGCAAGTGCATGCATAACAACAATCCGAGAATCGGATGCGCATAATGTGCCTTTGTATCGGCCTGATAATGTGCTGCTGCCCGAAAAAGCTTGGCAGGTTTCAGCCAGCCACGCCCCCATTTTGCCACCAGGTCACAACGCCCCCACCACTTCCTCTTTCCCACACTCCACACTTTTCCGATGGCGCCGCTTGCCAAATGTTGTGTAAAAGGCTAATGGCAACACTGAATGTGTGCCATAAAAGTGCAAGGTGGCAGCGGGCGCAACTTAAAGTTTGCTCCTTAAAGTTTTGCGCCAGCGAAACAGAAACCGCGTTCTCAGCTCACGACTCACTTAATGCGATCTGGATGAGAGGCGGTAAATTAAAAAACTTAGCACTGCAAAACTGTTTGACTTGCATAAGCAGCGAATCAACTGGGTATATACATATAATATACGAGTATGTCTTTATGCGGAGTAGAGCACAAAACTTGCACAAATTAAACAAAACGTGCGCACAAAAGAAAATCTCTGTAAGACCGAAATGAAGGCGGAAGCGCCAGGCAAGATGAAAAACCAAGTCCATAAAAACTGTTTCGACAAAACAAATAAATCTCACTGAATCGACACTATTATTCTCATTAGATGGTCGGGAAGTTTTATCGGTTACCAATAAGGATTTTTAACCAAGGTAATGATTTTTTAAAAAAAAAGTTATTTTAGTATATGGTACTTTTAGTAGGCTATTCTATTAAAAATGATGAACCAACAAGCTATTCTTAAAAATCATTTAGTTTCTTAAAAGCTTAAAGAATACTTTTTCATTTAAACAGCATTCCAAAAATGCTTTGTTTAAGAAAAGATCTTGGGCTTGGTTTAAAGTACTGAAACTGAAGAAAAATTACTGGGCTTCAAAGGTGGAAACTATGGTAATTTTTTTTTATAAAGGTTTTCAACGATAAGAAGATTTAGTCTGCAATTCTGTAAATTTTTCTTAAGAATTTAAAATTGTACATCTTATTTTATGAGTATGATAAGATGATCCTACCTCCAAGGACTGAGTGCAATCCCCCGTCCACAATAAGTCTTGGTACCTCGTGTTCTCGACAAGAACTGGGTGTAAAAAATTTAAAGGGCCAAAGGGAAAGTACAAAAACGAAGAAAGTAAACAGCAAAAGCGACTGGCGGCGTCTGAAATTTATTATATTCCCAGGGACCCACGCCAGCGTCATTTCTAGTCTTCCTTTCTGCCACTCGAATCGCTAAGAGAGACATGGATTTCTCTCTCTGTGTGTGTGTGTGTGTGTATGCGTTTTCCGCGTATATGTATATGTGCAGTCCTGAGCGCCTTGTGCACAAAAACAACAGCTAGTAAATTAGCTGGAAAATAGAGAAAAAAGTATGCGGCAAAATGGCGGACGCCAGAAATGCGAAAAAATATCATCATCGCCATTTGTCCCGTCGCCCACGCCCACGCCCCCGCTTTTCCACCCCCACTCCCCCTTTCCCGGTGGAAAACCGTGAAATGAAAATGGGCGAAAGACTTGTAATAAAGGTGGAAATATACGTGGTATGGTCACAAGGGGGTTGTCTAGAATTTATGAATAAGCAAAATGGCGACATTGAGATAAATAACTGCATTAGCATTAATTGCCCACTGCAAATGTTTGCGCGGGTCTGTTTGCAGGATATTTCGAACAGATTTAGTGGCAGACGTTTGTAAAATTAGTCCATGGTTGGGCATTACAATTTGCCATCAAATATTCTGATTTAAGTGTCGTGTTTTGCAAAGGTCAAAAGCATAACATTCGTTTATTTTAGGGACATAAAAGAAAAAATATATCTGTTTTTCATTACACAATAAAAGGTCATTTTGTAGCTCTTTATTCATTTGATAGCTAGCAAACATATTATATTTAATTAATTATTTTCAAACTAGCAAATTGAATTTTCCAACCAAAGTTTTTTGGTTTTGCTTTCCTTCAACAGGCTTTAAGCAATCCCATTTGTAAAATACTTTCCAATTCAATTTAGTTGCCTCAATTATCTGGCTTAGACAACGTTCGTATTAATTGAAAATCCACGTCAAGGACAGACAATCTATTAGGCCAAATGCGAATCAGCTCTTTGGTCCAATCAACGGATTCGAGGCCGTTCGATTGCGATTATTTCAGTTTGATGAATCAAATCGCTTACACCCAAATGAACAAGCTGCCTTGAGTTACAGTCAGGCGACAGTGAAGCCTGGCCGAGAAGTCGTCCGTCCGTCCGTCCGAGTCGTAATTTAATTTCCAATTACACGAGACTGTCTGCCAAAAAGTGCGACGCTGGCGATTGTTGCTGCCTCAGAATGCAGCCTCAATAATTACTCAAACTGTCGCCCGGATCCGGCGGCAGCTTCCTTTTGGCCCGCTGGCTTTGTCCACTCTACACTCGTTTATATCTGAGGCATGGACATCCTTGTGGCCCATTTTTCCCAATTCTCAGCGGTTGCTGGTAATTGTTTGTCAGGCACGTCGGTCCTGGCCTGTTCTCGTAATTGTAACTGACATATTGCCAGCCCTCAGCCTCCGAGCACCAGCTCTCCACTTCATTCTGGCTTTCCCAAAGCCATCTCGCAAATAAAGTGGTAATCATGCTTGTGCACAAAAAAAAAAAAAGTGAAAGGATCCGACCAAAACCAACGACAGCTCCTTGTTTATTGCATACTTTGCGGCGGCTTCATTGAATTATTGTTGCATAATTCATTCACTCACACAAACGCAAAGTGAAAGGGAGAAAGTAAGAACGACGAAGAGCAACTCTTCTCGTTTATTACAAAGCCGCATTTAAATTAATTTTCGATTTTGGCTCGATACTTTTTCCTCTCTTTGTGTGCTCAAACCCATTCGGCCAACATTTATCTTCGAAATTTTTGGCCAGCACTGCGTTGTTGTTGATTGTTGCCGCTGCCATCGACAATAAAAATCATTTAAAAAGACACAAATTACTCTGTGCCCAGTGCACAGCTCCAAAATTGCTACGACAGCTTTATGACCGCAGTCCCAATGGGGCATTTACTTGAAAATTGGAAATTGGAGTTTACACAAGCTGGGGTTTCCATGAAAAAAATAACATCGATTTGCATACATTTAAAGTCTTATTGAATATGTAATCTTATTTAATATTTTTATACAATTTTAACTATATTTTTTTAAATCCTTCATAATACAAAATCAAACTTTATTTTGATTTTATTTTACATGGTGCTTCCGCATAGTAAATATTGTTAAATAAACTGTAATTAGTCTAGTTTTTTACAGCAGAACATGTAACCACAAATTACTGTATAGTTAAGCCTGACCCCGCATTCGATCGGCTCAATAAGTTATGCTCAATTAACACTGGTTAGCGGTTGGCCAGGGTAAATTTACCAGGCCATTTCGAGTAAACGGCAAACAGCGGGCACGCAGACACACACTTGGTTGCCTCGATGGCTGTCAACAATCAAATAACATGACTCTCAACGAGGACAGTTGCCATTTCTCACGGCATGTGGCATAGCATACGAGTATGGTATGCAAATGCCTCGTCGAGGGGCGCCTCGTTCGACTCGTTTGCCTCGTTCGCCTTTAATTACCTGCAGACAAGTCGCCCGTCGAGAGAGACGGTGGCCCAATGCCATCCGGTTGAACAAGTCAGCGGGCGTTTTGCCAAAAATTCGCTCGGCCCAAAGAGGCTTCGGCATTCACATTAATTAACCTGAGATATATGCACTCACCGGTGCCACCTGAGCAACAGTCGATTTGGGGTTATGTGGCTGGCTACTTTTGGCTGCGGTTTTATGGGCCACTTTCGTGCCTCCTGCTCGCCCTCATATTGATTTAGCCTAGTCGCATTTTTACTGCCGCCGTTTAAATGTGAAAGTTGAATTTCCATAAGTTCAAACACTATAATGTTCTATAATTGACTGCATACTGACAGCTAAAAAAAAGGTTAAAGGTAAAC